ATAAGTGCAAGTTTTAGTTTCTTTGTCAGTATTTCTGTGTATTTTTGCAGGACATAATTTTTTCTCCAACTTAAATCACTGTACAGTTTTTTTTCTTAATTTCTTTTCTTGTATTTACTGATGTATATTTCTCTATTTACTTTGTACTAGCCCCTCTTACTCGATGCCTTATTGGGCTTTATAAGGTTTGATGAATAAATAAATAAATGGGTAGTAGTAGTACATTAAATAGTTATCTGTGCACCATAAATTTTCGCCGCCTATTTCTCTCGCATATGCATTGTCTTCTTTAAGCACTTTCTTTGTGCTGTCACTTGAAATTTCAATGTATCCACGTAACAACATTTTCGCACCTTAGGGGGCGGGCCATCTACCTGCCGGCCAATGAGCCCCTCATTGGCGCTTGTTGGAGTGGCGGCATCACACATGGGAACACGGCTCCAGAACCCGTATGACAGCGATGGAGTCCACCTCAATCAGCCAGTGCTTTTTTTATCGCCGTCGCGGATTTTCGAGAACATGCTCACTGGTAGCCAAGACAACACGGAAGAGCTGCTTGGTAAAAGACGAATGGGCAAAAACTGTCAGTTGTAGCAACTGTCGTACTGCTATATTGCATCAACTTATGCATGTATACAATGTGGGAGGTGTTGCGTTTCAATGTTGTTTTGTTTTGTGACTAATGCCTCTGTTCCTACCATTTGCATATCCATTTTACTAAAATTTACGTGTACAAATAATTCTCATTCTCATTACAAGAACATGCCATGGTGTTAACAGAAAGTAATGCTATGTAATAAGCCTGCTATTACTCTTTTAAAACGTTCCTAGCATAATTTGACGTGGTTCAGGAAGTACTTGTGTGACACATACATTTCACATCATGGGTGGCCTTATAATAAGCCCAACTTTGGAATTGTATTTCAACTTTGCTTTTGTGTGCAGATGCCCTTTTCCCAGCGCCACTTCCCGGCAGCAAGAGGCTGACTAGCCCACGAGCTAGTACTCTTCATTTGCCAGGAATAGAATTTGCCAACTGATTTAATATTTTTGCTTAAACTGAAGCTCATATTCGTGAAGGACAGTCGCTTTCATTATTGTGTTTGTGTCTGATACCGCATGCATGTACATGAAGTATCTGTCACCATGTGTATGTGTGATTACTGGCAAGGGGCTTGTATGTTTACAGAGTGACGGTGTTGCATGCCACCAGCTCACATTATTTATTTTCATATTTACAACTGTTATTACTTTTTATATTTCCATCACGTACTGATTTGTTAAAAATGTCGGGGGTTCACGTAGAAACATGGAAACACACAAATATTTGTGCCTGTACCATAAGGAGGCTTTTCTGATTACGTCGCATGCCAGCAGAGCACAAGTTCTGCTTCTTTTGTATGTGCAGACACAACCAATTTCATGCCATGGCCAGATGTTGGAGTCACCAAGAGCTATGGGTTTGCCGACATCGGGAGCACAGGCGCCGCTAGTCATACGGCCCAACTGCATGCAACTATAAAAGTGCTGGCGACATGGCTTCTCGGGTTGTGTGACTAACATAAAACAGGAGTATTGAAGATAAGTTATTTCTACAGTTTTATGTAATATTAAGCCTGCCTTTGCATGAAATATGTGGTTAACGTATATCACACCCTTAGAAAAAGGATGTGGGTAAAGTTATTTTAAATAAAATGCTGCTGAGGTATTCCGCAGTAAAGCTCTCTTAGCTACTGCCATAGCGATATTGAGGTTGGACAGAACAGTATTATGAGTTATGTGTGCAAGCAACAGGCCGGGCATGACCTGGATGATGCGGGATATAAAACGTGCTTGTATTTATACTTGCAGCAGCATCTAACAGTCATGCTGACACTGCTTACACGTGTTACGTTTCCCTACCTTATGCAATTGTACTGTATTGTGTGTGTGCAGACGAGACAATTCAGCCACAACTGCGATCGAGCGAGGGTGCTGGTTCCCAGGACCTCAGACTACATAGCCACCCACGGAAGGTGCTTGCGCAAGCTGTCCCTCTCACACCTTGGCAGTAGTTGCTCCTGGAAACGACGAGTCAAGAACAGTAGCAGCAGCTCCAGAAGAAAATGGGAAAAATTTAGCTGGTGCAGGAGAACGCCAACGGCCGAAATCAACGCGAAGCCGCCTAGCAGCCATAGAGCGTGTGCTCGCCCCAGAAGCTACGGCCCGAATGGAGGCACTGAAAACTGATGAGAAGCGCAAGGCACAGCTGCATGCCCTGGAGCTGCGCTTGCGTAAGCAGCAGCTCTTTTACCAACGAAAAATGAACAGGATGCAAGTGCAGCGGGAGCAGGAGCTGCATAAAATGCAAGTGCAGCTGTTGGAGCAGCAGCTGAAGCAGCAAAAATGGCGCTTCAACATCGAGCGCCAGAAGCTTTTTGAATTACAGGAAAAACAGCAGCAGCAACGCATAGAAACCCAGCCGGAACAAAAATAAAGCATGATTGCAATCTCACACACCTGATACTTTTATTTGAAAGACATCTGCAACAGCTCCATGTGTGATAAAAAAATTTTATTGTTGCGAGTCAGCAAGGATGAAAAGAAAACCTAAAACGTGACGAATTCAGGAACTTTTCAGCATGCACTCGTATGTGAACATGCATAGATTTCCCAATCTGAGATTGTTGGTCCACTCAAAAGAACATGTTACACAATTTATTCATTAGGCGAGGTAAATGCACGAGTAATCAGCTGCATTCGGCATCGAAATCCGAGTAGGGTGTCGGCTTGGTTCGCCACATCAGGCTGCCGCCGCCTTACGTGTTGTGGGATAATCACAGGTGGTGGTTCCGCGTCTTGCCTTAGGACTGCAAGGTTGTGTAGGGCAGCACAGGCCGTTGTAATGACGGCGGAGCGCTCTGCCAAGTTTTTTAGCCCCATGTCTAAACACGGGAAGCGACGTTTCCACATGCCAAAGGCCCGCTCGATCGGGTTTCTAGTGCGCATGTGAGCTGCTTGATACCTATGCAAAGAAATCAATGTCTTATTACTGTATGAACTTACACCTAATAAACGATACACTTGAGTATTATAGCCAGGCCGCTAGTCAAAACTGTTGCTGCTAATATGCCGATTCTATTGTAACGTGGGATATATTCAGGGCAGAAAAAACGATACATGTACCACGCTCATTGTAATAAAAGACTTCAAGCGCGATAGGTAGCACACATGTACACATTTCGTTCTGGAGATGAAAATTAAAGGGTTATACAGGCGTACTAACCGGCTCTCAGGGCTGTTCGGTGGCGGGTCAGCCATCGGTGTCATGAAGAAAGACGTGCAGCGGTATCCAACATCGCCAAGTAGGAGACCTGGTACTCGCTTTTTCTCGTACAGAACGCGTGCACGACTGGTGTCGAAAATACGACTGTCATGCACTGATCCAAGCCAGCTCGAAACGACGTCGTATAATTGTAGCTTTGGCCCTGCAATCACCTATTGAATATGCAATACTTGTTATACTGTGTTTTTGTGCTGAAGCAGCCGTCTACTACGAACGTACCTAATGCCTGCATGATCTTGTTTCAGTGCAGTAGTATTCACTTTTGTTTCAGAGTGCAAAGCTACAGTCATAAAAATTTAATGCTATTCCATTTGTGGGCCAATATCAGCTGCATTCACGGGACAGGCGTCATCGCAGACGAAACACTCATGGAATATATGTGACGCTATTTGGATCGCTCCACAGCCAGCACTCGCACGAGAGGGGTGAATTACCACTGCAACCAAAAACTTCAGTTCCCCCCTTCCACTCCACCCCTAGCATTGCAAATGCCGGGACCTGGGCCTGCTCGCTCATCTCGCGAATTGCTTAGCGCGGACTGAAGGAGGACCGCGAGAGAACATGTGATGTTTGGTGTTGTAGCAAGCAATCCGTGGGTTTAATTGCGATTTGTTCTTTCTTGTGAATACAGCTTTACTGGGTTGCAAACAAGCTAAACGAAATAAAAAAACGCCGCGTTGCTACAATAGTATGCACGGGGTTTTATAATCAAATTATCTACCATGAAGTTTTTTTTTTGCTAATATGCAGTTCATGAAATGCCTTGTGCAATGTTAATGTTGAATTACTACATTTTAGAAGTACTGCAAAGCTTTCAACGTTAGCAGCGAAGAATGAGCAAGTTACCTGAACATTTATGTAGAAGTACCCCTTCCGGTTGCGATAAACTTCGCCATTCGGCCCACCAGGTGATTTGATACAGACGTGGGTGCAACCTATGCACCCTGTCACACCGGGAAACTTGGCGATCCGGTAGAATACCACCATCGTCTCACGGAACCTGTCATCGGAGTTAGGGAAATTCACAACAGCCGGGAACAAGTGCTTCGCGATCAGCCGTGACACACGTTCAATGACGCGGCTCACCGTCGGCTGAGACGCATTCACCAAGTCGCCCATCACTACTTGAAAAGTACCCGCTCCATAAAAGCGCAGCGTAATCACAAGCTGCATCACAGGTGGAAGAGGGTGGCCACGATTCCTACAGCTCTTCTCAAATGGCAAGCACTCAAGTAGCTTCTTCACGCTGCTCTTGGTGAAGCGATAGCGCGCGAGAAATTCACTGTCTGTGAAGTACTCCATGGGGTTCAACCGGTCTCTCAATTGTTGGCGTGGTATGCTTACACAGTCCTCCACGTCGCCAAACAGCTCGTAGACACGAAAAACATAATCGACGAACGACGCGTAGTCCGCCACGATACTTGGCTCGAGAGACGATTCAAGGTAGCTCGATCACTTCCTTGGAAATCTCGAGGAAACGCCCAAGATTTTCTCAAGTGAAGGAAGCGTTTCAAGTGAAGGGCGGTTTGTGAATGGAAAAACGGCACTCAAGATACGTTTCGAGTGAAGGGTCGAGTCGAGGAGCGTTTGTGAATACGAGCCTGAGAACTTTTCGAAACTTACCGAGTGTATGCTTCCGCTTGACCATCCCGCTTGCAGGTAAAGTGCCTTGCAGTGTGAGCTCTTTTCCTACAGCGGTTGGAAAAGGACTTTCCAGACTACCTCGAGGCTCTCAACAATGCCTGTAAAAGGAGTGGGAAGAAGTTTCTAAGCGCAGAGACTTATGAAGCTATTTTGCTGACGAGCAAGTCTACGATTTTGTGTGTAAAGTTCCTTCTCGAGAGCGGTTTCTTTTATGTTTTGACGAGGAACCTCTCAACCGACCTTGTGGAACTCCTCTTCAGTTCTCTACGGCAAATGGCCGGTGGCAATGACTGCCCGGATGCAAGAGCCCTGACGTTCAGCCTGGAGAAGATCTTCAGGACTGGCAACATCTGCCCATCCCAGTCTTCAAACGTCGAGGACGGGCAGGCTGTCTTGAGGTAGGTACACGTGATCTGATGCTTTAGGGCAAGTGCTCATGGTTGGGCAGGTTGCCTTTGCTTTTAACAGGACCCCCAGAATTTTTCATGGCCTCACACAATGCATAGCACGCGTTGTGTGCAGCTACTACTGTTGTAGCCTGCCTACTGATTGAGATTGTTGTTTGAGCCACGTGAGCACTCAATGTCATCTGCTCATATAGACAATGTTTCAGGAGTATAGAGGACTGCTGCTCACAAGTGATTGCGTTTATTTTACGCGTGTTTTGCAGCGTACATGGCGCTTCCATGAGCGTGACATCCCCTGTACTGGATGTTCCAGCTGAAGCAACAGCACAAGCTGCCACACCTGTTTCGACTGAGACATGTCAAGTTGCCCTAGCCAGGTATGCCACATCAAATGTTTTTCAAGACTTAATGCTTGCTTGCCTGGCTGTTCTTCTTTTCCAGCCAGCAGCCTTTTTTCTAATACATGTTTTGCACATCTTTTTTAGTTGCACTGCACCTGAAGACGTTGTGATGGAAATCGACGGGCTCTTTACACCAGTGAAAGCACTGCCTCGTAAGTAGACGAGTAGAGGCTCATTGGAGTATTATTAAATGTAAGATAAAACAAAAAGCCACCATCTTCATTTGCTTTATCTGAAGGTTATCTGCTGATTGTTAGCAATGCACCAAAATTTATGATGATGAGGGCTGGGTGGAAACAGTGATGCATTTGCATTACACACAAGATCTGTCTTTATGGGCTGTCTAAAATTTGCTCTGTTTACATTACTGCCAAACACAATTTTTATGCTCTCACTGAATACTTTTTATTCTGGTGTTTTTTTTTTTCATATCTGCTTATTTTCTTTTTCAGTGCAGCGGCCACCGTCAACCATAGTGAATGCTAGCATTGCTTACATAGCCGGGTTTGTGGCAAAAGCAGTCGAGGAGCAGAGAACATGTACCTTCTGCCCTTCCCTCCATCAATCAGATGGATCCAGTCCTGTGCTAATGGGGCTAATTAGCCTGAAGTCAAGGGGTGGCCTAACTTTCCCAAAGCCTGAATTTGTCATGGCACTTGTGACCATTAAGAAGGCTGTTGACATTGCCCTGCCGCACATAAAAAAGAGCAATGTGCGTCAGCAACTGGCTGAACTGATTTTGCCTCACCTTGAGCAGTGCCCCCTTTTTGTATGCCCGGCAAGAGATGAGCATGGTACGAGCACACTGTCAGTGGTCTTCGACAAGTCTATTAAGCCACTCTTGTCCAATGTCGGTGCGGCTGTGACAGACAGGGCCGCTTACCGGAAAAAGCTTGCATGTAAGCCACTGTACCGAAAAGCGCTGCGCGTGTAAACTTGTGCAACACATGAAAAACATGGTGCATACTATGTGCCTCTGTTTTTGGGTTGTTTCTGTAAATGAAGTCTCATGTATAAACTTGTATGTAAGTCACTACTCTGCAATGTGCTCCGTGAACAGAATTGCGCAATGAATAAAAACATGCTGCAAACCGTGCTTTTTTTCTTGCTGTAAATAAAGTATCATGCATCCTGAAATGAGTTTCTTTGTCCTCTTTCCGAGATGTAGCTTCGGTGCATTAGCCTAAAATGTTTAGGGCAACCGCGGGAAAAATTTTCTGCTGAGTTCAAAGACGCGGGTTCGACTCGCGGCCGCTTTTCTGCTGGAGGCGAAAGCGGCCCGTGTGTTCCAGATTTCGGCGCTCGTTAAAAATCCCCAGGCGTATGGGCGCCGAGGAGAGGGGGGCAAAAAAAAAGGCACTTGCTCCCCCCTCCCCCCGCCAAATCATTTTAACACTTTACCCCATGCCCTCTCCCTTTTCCTTCGCGCAACAATAGATTTGCCCCCTCAAGGTAAAATCCTGCCGGCGCCCATAACCAGGTGGTCACAATTAATCCGGAGCCCTCTACTACGCTGTGCCTCATCGCCTATGTAGCGTCGACGCGTTAAACCTCATAATAAAAATTGACTTAGTTCCAGCCAGGCTACTTCAACGGTAAGCATTGCAGGAAGTTTGTCTTACCCAACACTGGATTGTGACAACCCTTTGTAAAACACCTGCGCGCCGTGAAAGATTACACTTCACTTAACAATTTTTCTCTTAAATGAATGCGAACAAAAAAAAATCGATATCTTTGGTACACAAAAAAAAAGCGGCACTGCGCTCTTTCTTTGTATCACGCGCTTTCATGTACTAAAATAACAAATACAAGCTTTCCAGAAATGAAACAAGACGGCTTTTTTTTTTTAAATGCGTGACCTTGAGCAGTGGGAGTCTGCGCTGACCAGCTTGGCGGCAGAGCATCAAATCGCCCTGATGCAACGAGCCCTGCATTCGGCGCAGGATCGCGGCCTCCTGGATGTAGAAGGCTGACCACATCCCTTTGCAGCCCCCTTGGCTGCCCAATAAAATGTTTTTACCACCACCACCACAAAAATAAAAACTACTGATGTGCAATGAATTCACTTACGCTTCACAGCGGCCCTAGTCTACGTCAAAAATTAAACTGCTAAATGGCACCCGTAACTACTTCTAACTACTGCATTGATGAGCGGTTGTAATTTATTTATTAAACGTCTCACACGGGCTGCGAAGGCTGAGCTTTCGTCCTCTGCGCCCGCCCGTGCCAGGAAAAGCCAGAGAAAGCGACCTTAGGCTATGCGCGCCACGGTGCGGCGAAATACGGGGCAACGCCCCCTTTTCAACTTACGCTAACTCCGGGTGATTGGGGCGGCCGGAGCAATGGCGCGCCGCCGGCAGCCGATCGCGGAGGCCACGGCAATACTCCGCCGCTCCGGAAACTAGAAAAGCGTTCGAGCCTCTGTAGTCTAACCGGGTGCAACCACGGTTTGTGGGAACTGAGGTTGGTGTTAGCGTGCCCATGTAACACGGGTATTAGAGATCTGTACATAGGCGTTAAGATGTTTTATTTTTATTAGCGCGTGTTGTGTGTTTCACCTTCATGGGTTGCTATCATAAAGTGGGAAAAACAGAATACAGCCTCGCCTTTTTTTTTTTTGTTGACAGCGTTGCTGCAACGTCTACTTATTACAAAGAAACCCATCACAATAACACCCAACGAGCGGCGTGGCTGATTTCTATTCTTTTAAGAGGTACATAACGACCACAGCATCGATTTATGTGAACTGAGTAGCATCGCTGACAAGCAAAGTCTAACCGTAGACCGACTGAGGGAGTAAATGAGAGAAGAGGAAGCTCGTGACAGAAAGGAGCAGGCCACCGAACACGAGGCCAGACGCGAGCAGGGAGAGCGCGAGGCACATGCATATTATGAGCAAGCAGAGCGCGATGCGTGTGCACAAAAACGTGAGGCGAAAATGGCTCGCGAGAAAGCGGTGTTAGACAAGAAAATTTTGCCGCTTCGCTTGCATCTTGCGGAGGCTGAGGCACGTTGCGGTAGGCGTGAAAACATGAAAATCACATTTGATCGTCCCGAGCTCTCACAAACATGCCCTGTGCATGCGGCGCCTGCGTTTGAAGAAAAACGGAGTGATTTTTATCATTTGTAAGGACTATCTGAATTGGTGCGAACAGGACCGCTATTGCCTGTAGATAAGTTGTCTACACGGAGCATCCTTCCAGCTGGCGGCCAAGTGACTAAGAAAGGTCCGGATGAGCCCTTATAAAAAAAAGGTAGAACCTGCAGTAAGAAACCATTATTTTCTCACCTGAATCCTGTGCTCTGGAACCCCTGAGAGGCTGAGTACATTAAAGGAAGAGACAGGACTACTTCTCGACAGCTCCATCGAAGGATCGGTAGAATGTTACTGGCACGATGAGGGTGAGTGTCAAAGAGACAGTTCTGAGGTTATACGGCCGCTGTTAATTGTATACCGTTGGGTACTGTAACAGGGGCCACAAGCATGGTCAGAAATGATACACATATCTCGCTCCCGAATCAAGAGAGTTCAATTCCTCTGGTTAATAAAGAAAACACCTCTCCGAGTGAACAGAGAGAGGGTACAGAATCAGTCGTCCAGTCAGACAATTTAATGTCGAATGGGGTTTCACCAGCAAGTACGCGTGTAGCTGGACATCATGTGCAATCCCAGCAGCTGAACAGTTTTGATTCGAGAGTTATGCCGATTGAAGGTGAATTAGGAAAAGACAACCAAGTGCCAGGCTATGCTTGTTTGAGCAGCAAGAAAAGATACGCGTTTCCCTTGGCGTATTGGGTGCAGAGAATCGTTCCCCTGATGCTTTAAGTTCATTAAAAGATAGCGAGCAAAAACAAAGCATTAGCGTGCCGACAAAAAATTTTGCAATGCTCCTTCCCTATCGGTGTGCCCGGGGGCAACACTATGTGGTTCCTTTGCATCATTGCAGCCTTGCGGCTAGGAACATCGCTGAGCGTCTAAGTAGGCTTGTGTGGGGATGGAGAAACAGGCTTCAGCAAATGCGCACGAAACCACATTTGCCACAGCTTGCTTTATATGCGAAAAAGGTAATCCGTCTGGTTTGGGACCCAATAACGTCAGCGTTAAGTTCCAAACTGGTAGCTGTTGCTGGATTTTGACTTCTCGATATAGACACATGTAGCTCTATACATAGTTCAGTTTTTGGTCAACGTTCATGGCATGTAGTCCTGTAATGTCCTTGTTAGCTCCAGTGATTCCGTGTTGTCATGTAATGACATGTGTGCGCTTTAGAGCTTATTATTATGAATGGCTTTTGCGCACTATACTGTAGTTTTTCACAGAAAAGCTTTTTGAAAAGAGGGCCTGTGTGATGAGTGCAGTGCACACGTTATGTGATGTGCACTCAAAAGATTGGTAGTTCTCTGGCGTCAGGTGCAATAAAAGATAACGATGTTGGTTGTGCTGGTGTAAAACAGCATGAATACGGCGAGTGGCCAAAAGTAAGGAAAAAGACAAGGAGTACACGTGCAAAGAAAAAAGCCCAGCGAAGACAACAACCGTGAAGAGAGGCATGAGGGCGCTACATTGACAATAAAAGAACAAAGTGGCCCAATCAAAAGTCAACACCACAGTTTCAGGGGCCAATCACTTGCTGATGCGACAACCCAGCAAGCCCCAATGAGAATTTGGCGATTCTACCGGAGGAGTGCCACGGCAGTCAGCAAGGGGCTCTTGGTTCAGGCGGAAGCAGGGTGGAGGCAGCTCGCCAACGTCGCTGTCGTGGTTTGCTTCGAGTGCCTGGCAGAGGTCAAGAGTTGTAGCGGGCTACTTCCCTTGACCTCATGCTTCGACAGTCCAGGGAGCCAGCAGAAGCTATCGCAGTCCCCCGGCCCACTGTAAAGCGTTAGCCAGAGTGCTTGACTGTGACCCCTTGTCTGCGCATGCCAGAAGACTGCCTGCCTTCGTCGGTACTGTCTTCGGCACCTAACTGCTCCATCGTGCTCTCATCTGTGCGTCGCCCTGCTCTTCGCCGGATCTCTCTAACGACGGCCGTCCATGCATGTATCTGCTCGCCATAAACGTCTGCCACACCTTAGCATACTATAGTCCATTCACTGGTGAGACTTCCGGTTACGGCTGGACTAGATTAATTTTTGCGACTTAGAGCTCTGTACATAGCTGTTAAGATGTTTTATTTCCATTAGTGTGTGTTGTGTGTTTCATGTTCGTGGGTTCTTATCATAAAGTGGGAAAAAACAGAATAAAGCTTAGCCTTTTTTATTGAGAACGTTGCTGTCCCAGACGCAACTTCTACTTATTACAAAGGACCCTATCACAATATGGCACTGCATGGCAAAAGAGCAGTGAAGCACTTCTTAGGTCTCTGCGCGTATTGTCGACGATTCACTGACAACTTTTTGACTTTTGTGGCATTTTTCCCATAGCTCACGCAAGAGGATGTTCCATTCCTTTGAAGCTAAAAGGAACAAATGGCATTAACCGAGTTACCCCAACTCTGCCACACCAAGTTCTTGCACACTTTGACCAGGAAGCACCAACAGCCCTTCACCCCATCGCCAGCAATGTAGGCCTGGGCGCAGTACTTATACAGTGGCAAGATGGCTCCGAAAAAATCATAGCCTATGCCAACAGAACTATCTCTCGCGCGGAGACCTACTCAACTACTGAGAGGGAGTGCCTCGCCGTGGACTAGGTGGTTCTCATATTTCGACCATATTTGTACTGCCGCTCATTCAAGGTGGTCAGCGATCACAACTCACTTTGCTGGGTCACTTTGCTGGAGCGTCAGGTTTCTAGAGTTTGACACGACCATAATTTCCAAGTCAGGGAAGAGGCATACTGATGCGGACTGTCTATCGTAGTCCCCCTTAGAGCTTGCCGTCATTATTGACGAGTTTACAAACGCCGCAATCTTTAGGAGTCGTCGACACAGA